ATGTAGAAGATGTGAGAAGAAAAGAGAGTGAAAGCAATGGTTGTGAGAATACATATTTAACTCCATAACTTTTAGAAGCAATGGTTGTAAGAACACAGATTTTGAATTTGCTAGTACTTTCAAAATACGTACAATATGGGCTATGCAGGTAAAACTTAAAAACATGGGCCATTTTTTCTTATGATATAGAGTCATGTGTATTTTCTTGTAATTCTTTCTAAAATTATTGACCTTGGGATGCTACAATTTGGGTGAGCACTTGAATAACTCACGTAAGATCCACATTAGAAGAACTTGGTTCGGAAGAGAAGACTAGAGGTGGATCATGAATGGCATCGGAGGAGATGGAGGAGGAACTTGCTAGAGCATTTCACGTGATTCACATAAAGACTAAGAAGATGACAATGCATATAATTTACCATGGTTAAATGATTAAAATTCATATACAAAACACATGTCATATATGTATTGATTTGGTATAAACACCCGATGTAGGTAAGATTTCACCGGTGCGGGGTATCGAACAGTTGTTTGTAAAGGGCTGTGCACCGCAATAGAGATAGTGAAACGTGGAACCTGCGAAGATTAAATGACAGCATCATATATGTATATATATAAGTACCTAGGAGGTACAAAATAGAGGAGATAATCAACTCATATTCAGCTCTTAAGGAGTCAATTAAATACATAAGGTTCCCTAAATCCTTCACTGTATCCCCCCTGTTCCAAAAATACAAGTACTAAACATCTATCTTTTACAAAAGCAATATGTTTTTCTTTCCATCAAAACACTTATGATTTCTCTCTAACGAAATAGTCCAGATGACCCACTTCAAGATTTTACATTTCTTTGTAGCCCGGCCCCTCCTCGTTCCATGGCAACATGAGGATTTCTGTCGGAAGATCTTCCGAATTAATAGATGTATTCTCCTAATTTTTGACTAGGTAGCAAATTTCTAACATCGCACTTTGTTCGGGACCATCAACAATCTCTCCTCTGACTTGTTCAAGCTCCTGCGCATGAGTGTTGACGGTGAGAGCTTCCTCATACTGTAGATCTTCAGTGAAATTTCTCTGTCGCCGATCTGAGTTGTCCCCAAAATCTTCATTAATTCTAAGAGTTCTTTAACTCATCTGAGATTCCATTCCATTTGCCATAGCAGGAGATAAATCGATCAACTAACCAAGAAGTTAGCAAAGTTCAAGTATTTCCAATTACAATAAAGGCATAAAAATCTAAGAGTCCCTTAATTACATAATTCTAAAATGGTAGATGTGCATGAACAAATAACACTTGTACAAAATGAAGCCCTTGACAATAAAGGAAGAAAGAGCACAGATACACTTGCACAACATGAAGCCTTGACTATAAAGGAAAAAATAGCATAAACAGTACCTGAAAGAAATATCGGGCTCAATCTAAGAGAAGACATCAAAGTCCAATGAGTAAAAGTCCAAGAGTAAGAGTTAGCTAAAAGGACTCAACAGGTGACAATTGTTATAGGTTAGATTTTTTAATTCTTTTCTTATTCATTTTTGTTTTTTGATTTTGTCGGGAGTAGGGAGTAAAAGGGGAAAATGCCTAGACATCTCCAGGTGCAACCATTTAAGAACATCAAAAGAAGGCCACTAAAGCATTTGAGATTACATGTTCGAGATCTACTTACACAGCACGAGGTAAAATCATAAGTAATAAGTTTAGGTTTTAGCCCATTCGCATGACCTAATATCAAAAGTTTCATGAGACATACACAAATTTAATGAATGGTTTCAAAAAACATATACAGCTTTGTCATACTCAGTAAATCACAAAATTCTTACCAGCAAATTCGATAGTATCCTCTTCTGCAGAGCTGGTGAATTGAAGCATAAACAGTGGTTGAGTTGGTCAGCAGGAGTGCAGGACCAGCACAAACAAGGGACGGATATACAGTACATGAATCTGTCCAGTCTGCAACAGGAAATATAGAAAGTAATGATATAAGTGAAAGCTCCATTTCCTGATTTTCGTTTTTAATATGCCCCACATTTCTCGGGCGGACAAATTCTTAAAAGGTAATTGATAAATTATATATTAGTTTGAAAATGGAAAAAAATGAGCATGTCACTGCCTCACAGTAGACAAGCATATCAATTAATTTTAGAAACTTAGCTTACTTAGAAATGTCTGGTAAGACCTTAAAACTAACAAATAGATACGTACTCTTGTTTCGAAGAGAGAATTTGTTATGGTGATTTAAAAGAGTCTAATATTTCTAACTTTACTTGCATCAAATGACAGTTATGTAACTACACCCACTAGAGAAAAGTAAATATTTAAAAGAACGAAAGAATTGCCTTCATAAAAATCTCTGTTCCATTATAGAGTTCGGGATTCATCATTCACAGGACAGTACAACAGCGTGAGAAGAACAAATAAATTTCCTGCAGCACCTATACCATAACGATATCAACCTTAAAGGTCAAAATTTCTGTCTAGAACTATGGGCACATGTTACCAGTAATCCCCACATGAACAAACACCATCCTTGAAGTGATGAAAGCGATTAGAGTCCCTCACAATAATCTCTCTCTCTCTCTCTCTCTCTCTCTCTCTCTCTCTCTCTCTCTCTGTTATCTTAGAAATAAGTTTCAGCTGTAGAGATTTCTCTTTTTCAGCCCAAGTAATAGCCCTGTTTGCAGCTATTTGCTCCAGTAATGTTAGGTCTTCAAGTAGCTTATTTTGTTGAGCTGCCAGTTTACTAAAGGTCTCCCTGTTCCACTCTGTGATGTCCTTTAATCTTCTCAGTTTTTGCATTAGGATGAAATCCGGACTGCCTCCAATTGAGTAACTTTGCCACCAACTTTTGATGTTATCTGTAAAACCTTCTACTTGAAGCCACATGTTTTCAAACTTAAAATAGGAGGGGTTTGCTTCCCAATTCCCACACTCCAGAAGTAAAGGCCTGTGGTCAGAGACTACTCTTGGCAGAGCTAGTTGTTTAATTGCATTAAAATTCTCATCCCATTCATGGGAAATTAGGAACCTGTCTATTCTGGATGCTTGCATAGACTCTGCCCCCCTGAACCATGTATAGTAAGCCCCCAAGAGAGGCAAATCTATGATATCCAAGTCCTGTATTGTGGTTGTGAACGATCTCATAGCCCTTGACCTCCTAACACAATTGTATCTTTCACTCTCATATTTGCACACAATGAAATCACCCCCTATCACCCATTGCTCATCCCATATGCCCCTGATGGCTGCCAATTCATGCCAGAAAACCTCCCTCTCTGGGTTCGTGTGAGGCCCATATACCCCTGTAAAACACCACCTAAAATGCTCTTGTGTACTTTCAAACATACAAGAGATAGTGTATAGCCCCTGATGAACCCCTTTGTTTGCCCAGTATCTTTTATCCCATAGCACTAGAATACCACCACTCCTCCCTTTTGATTTCAGCTCTACCCATTCAACCCATATGTTCCCCCCATATTTGTCTTATCCAAACGGGTGACCATTCTTCCACTTTTGTTTCTTGTAGACACACTACATCCGCTCTCCATTTTTGAACTAAAGATTTGATTGTAGTCCTCTTATCTGCCTCATTGAGGCCTGCACATTCCAACTAAGGATTTGATCTTCATCCAGAAAATGCTTTGCAAGTCCTGTCCCTGTCCCCCGACTTCTTACCATCTGAATTCATCCCCCACTTCAATCTTTCCAGTTCTAAAGTTTGTTTTTTCTTCCCCTTTTTACTGGCCTTGATTGCAAGTTCTTGTTTTTGAATTTGTTCTTGTCTTCTCTGTTCCATTTGAAGAACCATGCCAAGGATCTCATGTTCGAACCCAGCAGCATTTATCCCAAAAGCTTTGCATGCCTTTAGCAACACAGATTTTGTCCATCTTGATGTCTCAATAACAGCAGGGGTGTTGATATCATTAGATGGAACCAATGAAGAAGACCCCGTTCCAGACCAAGGAAGAAGAAGAGTATCACAGGAGGAGAACTCTACATCAGAGCTACTTACTGTTTCGAAGTCTTTAATCCGAGGAGGTCTTGGAATGATCATGGTCATCGGCTATGCTTCATCATCTGCTTCCGATGAAATATCACATGCAATTCCCATAGACTGTTGCTTTTTTCTAGAGCCTTCTGTATTTGCAATCTCGACTGAAAGAGGATCGAAGTAATTTTCAAGTCTAATAGGGCTATTTTTACATGTGCATGGGTCCAGAATTGGCCCGATAGCCAACCATTCTTGTCTTGTGGCTTTCCCCCTTTTATTCAGCTTGGGCTTGGGCCCCTTAGAATAATACGAACGGTCCAATTTAAGGCCCGAATTATTAACAGCCTTTTTGCCTTGTCTTCTGGTAGGGTTAGGGTTAAGCTTCTGATGACGTGGTGGAACCACTTTTATAGGGGCTACTTTAATCAGATTTGAATTAAAGTTAATGTGACCGCTGGGTTCTTTGACTTGGACCACTAGATAATACATAGACTCCTTCGCTTGACTCGAGGAAGCCATGTCTGCAACTTCCTCCTTTCTTCCTTTGACAGTAGCAACGTCGCCGGTAAAGGTGATTAGTTTGGCTACCTGATCCTCCAAGATTGAGATTTTATATCTCAAATCGCCAAGTACCGGTCTGCTTCTCTTGGGGGATCCAAATCTCCTCTTTTTACACAGATTCTAGCCCAAAAAAGATGAGATCTATTCTTTGTGTCTTCATCTATGCAGACAAACCCACCACATAGATCTCCGATGTATTGAAAGGAGCTCATTGTCCAGCCATGCAATGGAATTCCAAAAACTTTCACCCATCTTTGGTTGACCTCTTTACTCACCGAAGAGGTTCCAGTTACTGGCGACCACCAATCGAGGGAAAGATGACGGCCATTCCAAAACCAGTCACCGGCCTTCACTCTAGCAGCCTCTTGTTTTGATGGAAACTCAAAGAGAAATTTATTGTGCGTCATGGGTGTGACTCTGAGGCCTGCCGTTACCTGCCATCTGGTGACGAACCATTTTTGGATGACTTCAGTGTTGGGGCTTTTGTTGAAAGGGTCATTGAAGCATCCGACCAAGCACTTCGAAAGAAAATGGAGATTCTCATCTGTGACTTCATTGGGGGCCTTCACATTTCGCTCATCCTGTAGCTTTGGCCATTATGACATTGCAGTAGCAGTTAGAAAGGACTTGTTTTGCAAGTCAGAGATTGTCCTGTATTTGTTGTTTGAAGCTTCCCCCAGGAACTGTAAAATTTTCCCTGCTATGTCCCCCCATCCCCTGTTGTAAACTGCCTCTGGTACTATGATTGCTGCTTTTCCAGCCCCCATTCTTGTTTCAATTCTGATGTATCTGCCATAACTGTTATAGTTCTGATAAACCCTGTAAAGGTAAGTCTGAATCTTCCTTCCCCATCTCCTGTAAAGGTTCCCATATCCCCGTGAAGCTTGTTGTAATTGTTCACATACCCATCTGAGATTATCTTCGTCTATTGTAATTCTGCTTGTAAATCTCCGACCACGCTCTACCCATGTGTACCAGCCTTCGCTTTCTTCGAACAATTCAAAAGATTTATCCCCTGAGACAAAAAAGGTCTTCCCTCCCATTAGATACGGGAGAGGGCTCACCGGAAAGAGAGTTAGAGAGAGAGAAAAATAGGAGGCACATATCCCAAGTCAGAGCACTTTTCTCATACTAACATTGAAGAGCCCTTAGTCAATCTCTAGTTTTTTTCAAGTAACTCTTACCACAGATAGAGAAAATGAGAAGTACGAAATAGAAAAAACAGGTTTGAAGTTTTCAAATTCGGGAGAACAAAATCGGGATCTGTAGAGTTCTGATGAGACCTCTTCAAACTCAATCTAAGAGAAGACAAGTCCAATGAGTAAAAGTCCAAGAGCTAACTACTTCGGAAAAAAAAAAGAAAAAAAAAAAGTCCAAGAGTTAGCTAAAAGGACTCAACAGGTGACAATTGTTATAGGTTAGATTTTTTTAATTCTTTTCTTATTCATTTTTGTTTTTTGATTTTGTCGGGAGTAGGGAGTAAAGGGGGAAAATGCCTGGACGTCTCCAGGCGCAACCATTTAAGAACATCAAAAGAAGTCAGTAAAGCATTTGAGATTACATGTTCGAGACTCCAGAATACAAGTCCTAGATATCAGCTACTTACACAGCACGGGGTAAAATCATAAGCAATATGTTTAGGCTTTAGCCCATTCGCATGACCTAATATCAAAAGTTTCATGAGACATACACAAATTCAATGAATGGTTTCAAAAAACACAGACAGCTTCTTCATACTCAGTAAATCAGGCCCAAGGTGGTTGTAGAAGGCAAGCCTAAAAGGACTCCTAAACCAAGAACCAAAAAGCAGCCTGGTTCAGTGGAGACAAAAACAGAAAAGAGGAAGTATGTCCGAAGAAACAAGGTTGGCAGCCCTGCACCCACTTCTGCTGAAGAGTTAAACAATACAATTGATGAGGGAAAGACTCCTAGTTCCAAAGAAGCCCCACCAGCAAAGAGGAAGTACGTCAGAAGAAATCAAGTTAAGAAGAGCACAGAAAAACCCTCTGAAGAGGGGAGCAGTGGAACAACTTATCTGAAAAAAGTTTCTCCTAGAAAATCCTGCAGGAGAAGGTTGAATTTTGAATTTGAAAGACAAGCAAGTGATGAAAACTCATCATACAGGCCCTCAACTTTGGATTTGCATGTGAATCAAACCGAATCAACTGCACAATTTGGACAAGGTATGGAAGCCCCCAATGAAAAGACAGTAGTGGGAACAACTTATAACATCAACTGTTCCCGGAACCAGGAGCTGAGAAATTACTTGTCACAGCATGAAGTGCAATCCCTTGGTTCTCCATCTCTGGACAAGGTTGGCTGGAATCATGATGAAGTCATGGTTGGTAATCAAAATGAAAGCACAAGAGGAAATTATAGAATCAATTTTTCAGATTTAACTCGTGATAAACAGGCAAGCATACTACAAATGACACCACAGAGCTCGAATTGTTCCACCTGCAGCAGCAGCACATGCTTGCCACATGGGAAAGGCTTGAAGAGACAGCATTCATATAGAACTGATGAAACACAATTCTACAGCTTAAATGCCAGAGGAGTGTATTTCAATTCCATGCAGGCTTATCAAGCAATCCTTCCAGCAAATGAACCTGAAGTTTATAGTAACCTAGGGATGCATTGTCCTGCAATTTACAAGAAAAAGAGAACAGAAGAGGGCCACAGCATCTTACATTAAGCATTTTACTCGCGAAATTAACCATGTGCCTTCATCGCAGTGCAATATCAGTGGTTCCCCTAGCAACAATTCTTCAACCAATATAGCCTACAACAGACTGCAGAACTCCGATTTTGTGCCAGCAGTTGTGGAAGCAGAGAAGTCAAGGAAGAGGAGATCAAAAGGCGCAACTCAAGTGCATGAGTTAGCATCTGTGCATGAAATTTACAAACAATTTCAGACTTCTACATCCAAATACGCTACAAAATGCAGTCACAAAATTCTTACCAGCAAATTCAATAGTATTCTCTTCTGCAGAGCTGGTGAATTGAAGCATAAATAGTGTTTGAGTTGGTCAGCAGGACCAGCACAAACAAGGGACGGATATACAGTACATGAATCTGTCCAGTCTGCAATAGGAAATATAGAAAGTAATGATACGAGTGAAAGCTCCATTTCCTGATTTTCTTTTTTAATATGCCCCACATTTCTCAGGCAGACAAATTCTTAAAAGGTACTGCCTCACAGTAGACAAGCATATCAATTAATTTTAGAAAACTTAGTTTACTTAGAAATGTCAAAAAATAGATACGTACTCTTGTTTCGAAGAGAGAATTTGTTAGGGTGATTTAAAAGAGTCTAAAATTTCTAACTTTAATTGTATCAAATGACAGTTATGCAAATACACCCACTAGAGAAAAGTAAATATTTAAAAGAACGAAAGAATTGCCTTCATAAAATCTCTGTTCCATTACAGACATTCACAGGACAGGACAGCAGCTTGAGAAGAACAAATAAATTTCCTGCAGCACCTATACCATAACGATATCAACCTTAAAGGTCAAAATTTCTGTCCAGAATTATGGGCACATGTTACCAGTAATCCCCACATGAACAAACACCATCCTTGAAGTGATGAAAGCGATTAGAGTCCCTCACAATAATCTCTCTCTCTGTTATCTTAGAAATAAGTTTAGTCACATTGTGGCAGTCTCCACAAACCCGCAAGTTTTTATAGATCCGTAAAGGACTTCTATGAGGAGTGTTAAGAATTCCATAAGCAATAGCCAATCTCTCACTATGACTGGTAAGGATTTGTTCCTTTTCGTCATCCATAACATCTTGTAATACAAAAGTATAGTCTGGAGTATAACCTAGGGTCTTCATCTTAGCAGTTAAAATACTTAATTCCTCGTATATCTCATGGCACTGCGGATGAGATTGATTTCCTGTGTAAAAGACTTCAATCTTATTGTTCATTTCAATTGAGCTCCATCCAGGAGTCTTCTTCAACCCCCTGTCTCTAGCCAATGATCTCACTTCATTCACCCCCTCCCATTTCCCATAATTAGCATAGATGTTAGACAACACGACATAGTACCCAACATTCTCCGGGTCAACTTCAAACAAATTATCTGAAGCCAATTTACCCAACTCAACATTTCCATGTATTCGACATGCACCTAGAAGAGCACCCCAAACTGAAGCATCAGGCTGCAAAGGCATGCTTTTTATAAAACGGTATGCTGTTTCTAGGCGCCCAGCCCTAGCAAACATATCAACAATGCAACCATAGTGCTTTAGAACAGGTTTGATGCCAAACTCTTGCTCCATCATATGAAAGTATCTTTTACCCTCATCAACTAATCCTGAATGGCTACAAGCTGACAATAGAGATAAAAATGTTACATGATCTGGTTTAACACCTTCACCCAGCATATCATTGAATAGTTTCAGAGAAACCCTGCCATTTCCATGAATACCATGACATGATATTATGGCATTCCAAGGGACTGTAATCATCCTAGGCACCTCGTAAAACAAAGACATGGCATCATCCAGTCTTCCACATTTACCATAAAGGTCAATGAGGGAGGTACCAACAAAGACGTCCAAATTAAGAGCTACTCTGAAAACATGCCCATGAGTCCTCATTCCTTCTCGCAACGCACCTAGATGAGCATAAGCTGGCAAAATGCTAACCCAAGTTCCTTGGTTTGGTGCTACGTCATCACATTTTTTCATCATGTTGTAAAGTTCAATAGCCTCACTTGCAAGACCATTTTGAGCATAACCTGAGATCATTGAGTTCCAGGACACCACATCCTTAACCAGCATCTCGTCAAAAACCTTACGACTACAATGAATAAAACCCAATTTTGCATACATATCCACAACAGCATTACACACAATAACGTCCTCCTGAATCCAACATCTCCTCAATATAAATCCATGAATTGATCTGCAGCAATGGAAACTTTTGGTCTGAGCTGTACTAGAAGCTAAACTCACTATCGTCAACAAGTCAGGCTGAATCTCATTTACCATCATCTCATGAAAGTATTTCAGTGCCTTTTCAGGTACATTATTTTGCTCATATGCAGCAATTAAAGAGTTCCATGATATTAAATCTCTTACTATCATATCATCAAATACTTTTTGTGCATGTCTTAACTCACCAAATCTGGCGTACATGTTTATTAAGGCATTCGATACAAAGACATCTAATTCTAGGCCATGCTTTATAACATACAAGTGAATTAACATCCCGTGCACAATATCATCAAGCTGCGCACATATAGGAAGTACTGTTGCGATAGTCACCGAATCCATTTTTATACCCTCTAATCTCATCTCATTCAACAGGCTCAATGCCTCTATAGCATTTCCATTCTGACAAAATCCAGATATCATAGCATTCCAACAACCCATATCCCGAAAAGGCATATTCTTAAAAATTTTAAAGGCAAAAGTAGATGATTGGAAACGGCAATACATATGCACCAAGGAGGCAGCTACAAACACATCCCACTCTAAGCCAAGTTTCGAAGCCCAGCAATGTATTCTTGCACCATCAAGTATATTACCGCAAGCTTTCAACACTGGAGGGAAAGTGTAAAAGTCAGGCTTAACATCAGCCGTGGACAACATTTCATTCAAACAATTCAGAGATTCACGGAAATTGCCATTACGAACATAAGATGATATCATGGAATTCCAGATATAAGCATCTTTATTCTCTATCACGCAGAAAGTCTTCAGAGACAAAGAAACATCACCCAAGTGAGCATAAAGATTCCCAAGTCTAGTGCCGATAAAGATACTCTGAGCCTTCCCTGACACAACGAGAAGGGCATGAAGGCACTTCAAAATGTAGATTTTGGTACAGGATTTGAATAAATGCTCAAAGTCTATCTCTTTTTTCCTTCTTGCAACACCATTTGATAACACCTCATTGCAACTTCTACTTGAGTATAACTTGCAACAGAAAGAGAAGAATGGTAGAGATTTTGTGGAACGCCCACCTTTGAACGACAGTAAAAATCTGCAGAGACAAAGCCGAAAATGAAATCAATACGAAGACCCAAAGATTACATGTTAGAATTCTTCCCCTCTCTTTGGAAAGTACAATAGGAAGAAGAAAACATCATATCAGTAGTCAACATGCCATGACAATATAAAGAACAGAATGGGAAGTTGAAGCCACCACTAATGCAAATAGGATAATAAATAAACAATTGAATTATAAGCTCCTCAAGATAACATGCAGAATACACAAATTGATGTTAGAGATCACATGGAGCTAATGTGTATGCGGTAGATTTTGAGGCTAGACTTAATAGTTACATCTGAGAGTTCATAATGACTACCCTCCTTCAAAAGCTAGATCTATTGGGTTAAGCACTGCAACCAGGTATGCGAACAAATTACCTAAATTAATAGAATTTGAGACGGTAAAATTCTTCTTAAGTGTAAATGAGACATACTTTGTTTGTAAATCAGACTGTAGGCATTTGAATGACTAAAATATTTGCTATCAAAATCATCACTAATATCCTTCTATGATCCCAACTTTATCCTAAAGGATACATACACCATAAATTTCAAGAGGACTCCTAGGATGTGCATATATCTTGACAATCTACATGTTCCGATGCTTCCCAACTTACAAATCTTGGGATATGAATCTTTTTTCTTTCAATTATTCACTTCTTTCAGAACTTAAATGAAAGAGGTGAACAATCTAAGACTCTCTTTGGCTTCTTGAGACCATACCCAACTATCAAGACACTTGCATTTGAAACTCATATTCGACCAATTCATCACTTCATCCTTTTGTCATAACTTGTTCATTCAGAACCCTTGAAAATTAAGACATTCAAATGGTTCTTATGTTCACGGTAGTCTAAACACTAATCAACTCCAACAGTTGAGAAGGTCTTGTAAAATTTTTAAGTTTCAATTCTTATATGTGCAAGAATTCCAATGAGATTCGGCCCACCTGCTCTTTTGGAGTTTGTGGCAGTTACATAATTGGTTTCAGTGAGGTAAAGGAAAAGGAATGGACAGTGTTTACAAAGAGTTGCATTGCATACTATTTACATTTCTTTCAGTGGATCATGTGTGGGCTAGAAGGATGCCGTAGTCGTTTTTATATCCCTCGACCTTTTCACTAAGGAAATTCGAAGTCTCTGTTCTGCTAAATGTTGTGTTCTATTTTTAATTATAGCATTAATTCTGATTTCCGCGAACAAAACATTTGACTTAGCTCGTAACATATAGCCTAATCCCTGTTTCTTGTTTGATTTTGTTTAAATCTTAGTTTGAATTAGCTCATATCTATCTTAGAGACCTATTGTTTCAAGAGTTATAACTTATTGGGTTGCCTATTATATAGGTACGACCTGCATATTTTATTAAGGACAGATAACTTGTCGAATTGAACTGATTCTACACAATCTCTCTCTCCCTACTTCCTCCTCCTTCACGTTCATTTACCCTTTATCTCTCCCTCTCTCCTCCACTCTCCTATTTCTCTCTCTCTCTCTCTCTCTCTCTCTCTCTTTATTTCTCTTTCTTCTTGCTCTGTTATTCTTCTTTATTTCTCCCCTTTCTCTTGTTTTCCGTTGCCTTTTTTCCCTTCTCCATTTCATTACTACAACATTCATTTTGTCTAGCCCATCAAAAGTAAAATACAGCAAGTCTTTCACATATTAAAGATTGAGATTGTTATCACAAACTAGTATCAGAATTTATCAGTCCAGACTGGTGTAGCAGCTTATGTACATGGCTGCGAGTGTCAATTCAAGTTATTTGTTTATAAGGAACAAAATTATGTCAATTTATGTTAATATGAATTGATAAGCTTTAATGAAACACATTGGTGCTTGTGCTTGACAACAGCTTGAGGGTAGGTTCATTATCCCCATCTAGCCAGTGCTTAGGGTAGCTTCTCAGAAGTTATTAAAATAATCTAGGACGACTTACCACCATAACATTGAGAATCTAGCAAATATTAATTACAATGGTTTAGGTTCCCGATGGGGTATAAGATTTTCTGTAACTGGTGTCACTACCTATGGATGAAACTTGTTGTATCATATGAATAGTGCTCGTAAGTGAGCAGATTGGGTTGGGTTTGTGCGACCTGCCCATATTCAATACGGGTTGAAAATGGGTAGAGTGATGGATTATATGGGTCAACCATATATTTTGCACCTTCAGCTTTTTAGCTTAAGTAAACCTCTGCGCTGCAAAACAAAAACTATAGATTGGTCTTATTATAACCAAAAGTCCAAAACTTGAGTAATTCCAAAATTCACACATAATTGTAAAACTTGCCAACACTTAAGAGAGACCAGATGTATCCTACTGCTATTCATAAACTAAAACAAACCAAAAAAAAAGGACAAAATATCATCTGTTTTATAGTTGTAGAGTCGAGAAAAAGCTGGTGCTGGACAAGAACTAGCGAAATACCTCTTTCTTTTTAGATGTATCTGCAGTCTCAAATTAAATGCTCAATAAATGAAGGCAAAGTGAAGCGAAAAATGAAAAATGAAGGCAAAAATAAATAAAAATAATTAAAAGGAAGAAATGGAAAAGGAGAATCATCCTATGAATCAAATCCACTCTTTTATTCAAAAGTATAACCAACAAATGTCATCTAAAAACAAATTTCCAAATTCAGACCTCAACGCCCAAAACCCCTTTTTGCAATATGAATTTCAACTGTTTAGATGTTCTCTAATATGCAAACATATCAGATCAAGAAGCAGAAAAAGATATCATTAGCAATATTAATCTGATATTGAAGATTCTAATCAGTAAATTATGTTCTTCCTCAACACTATCAAAAGGACCTCAATCAGGCTCATATCACTAGAAATCAACGGCGCAGATTGCCTTACACCATCAGATTTCTAAACCTTATGATCTAGCAATGCATAATGAGCCACGTGTCTCTAGTCAAATTCCCTCTCCCCTATAAATTCCGCTCACGATGAACCACTCGACATAGGAGGATGAGCTGGTGAGGTCTCCATTCCCCAAGTAGATAGAGAGCATAAGAGAAGTAAAAGAATCAGATTTTATTTACACCTAGAATAGGGGAAATGGGTTGCCCCGTTCACTCATATTTATTGTGGTTTAAATGGGTTAAGCCATATTTTACCCAAGTGACAAAAATCACTCACCCAACCCATATACAGTTGGGCAGTTGTCAAAAGAATTGAAATTTTGCCAGCACTACATACGGATGAAGTTTATGATTGATGGCCATGTGATTAAAGTTTGAATAGTTCCTTCAAACCAACGGAACTACAGGTTGTCAGTACTTGAGGCCTTACTTCATTTGAAGTTGTCCTATCAATTGTATTATATACATCATTCGGTGTTTGTGATTTCAGTTTGAGTACTCCACCTGTTTCACTTATATTTGTTAGATGTCCTCTCACAAAGGACTGCGTGCTCCATCAGCATTTTGCAGAAAAGCAGCAAATCCGAGAAAAGATTTTTGCTCAATGAGAGAAAACCTGTTAGGGGATGCAATTCAAGCTGCAACCAAGTAACTTAGCCCACATGCTTGTCAATATCTATGTGTATGCTGGGTATGTTATTGATAATGGTGTAGGCTAGGTACTTTTCTCCAATTGAACTAATTATGCCTTATTATCTGGGGAAAAACTTAACCAGCATGCAAAATGCTTCCCTTAACTCTTATAGTTCTTTATTACCTAATTATCAAAACTAATATAGTTCTTTATCACCTAGCCAAGAAAGAACAAGAGTTACTAGCAATTAAAAAAACCATGGAATATCATTTCCATGTTTGAACTTTGTATGCCTTAGAAATTCAAATTAATGTCCGCAATTAAAATCTAAACAATGTTAGATAGATGTCTTGCCACACATCTTCAGTCAAAGAAGAAGAATTTAGATAAATGTTTGCAGTACTATTATACGGATCCAGCAGAGAAAAGTTAAACCACATTGTTCTTACCCACCTCTGTGACATAGCAACATTGACCTCGGCGCTGACATGGCGCTGTTCATCCTGACAAGATATTGGCAATCTCTTTACAAGCCTCTTTGCGCAACCAAAAAGCAGCATCAGTTGTTTCAGCTAAATTTACATTCTCCAAATACAGCATTTCCATTCCTACATACTGACTGAACAATGTTTTTTTTTAAGTAAGAGCATTATCATTGAAAGGCATCAAGAAGATGCAAAGTAGTTACAACAAACAAAAGCAATGCTAGCTCAAGTACAATGTTGGCTAAGCTAAGTTCAGGGAGCTAACAAAATCCAAAAAATTGATTGGGCAATTTACAGGTGAAATTCCCCCTGTACTGAAGAATGTTCAGAATGTTCAGAATGTTCGCATCACATTTTTACAAACCACATCATGATCACTAATTTTTTTGAGAATGGTAAGGATAAACCACATTATAATCACTATAGGATCAGTCAAACTTCTATTTTTTTTTGCAAATCAGAATAAATATGCATTAGCTGCCAAATCAGGAAAGAGAAAGACTAAGCAAAGAAGCTTGTCGTTTGTTTTCTTGTTTAAATCAAGGCTGGAATTTAGACTTGTTTAACCCTTTGGCTGGAGCTAATCACCCAAACCTCATCTCTTTTTTTCCTATTGTCCTGTCCTGAATATTCTTGATTTAGATCAATTTTTGCAATATAAAATTAAGATTATGGAAATAAACATCTAATCTTACAGGGGAATTCTGCCCTTCAGCAGCTGTATTACTACTTACTGGTACTATTCCCTTATTGCAGTTGAGAGAAAGGCTAAAGGCAAAACATGTGTCAAAGCATTGTTTATTAGAAAAAAAATCAGTGAATAATAGTAGGCCTCCGAAACATGTGTCAAAGCATTGTTTACCATACACTGCTTAACTTCTGAACTTTTATAATGAGAATTGTTTGTTAACATTGTTTCTAATATTCAATCCGATAACAAACCTCTAAAGTTATAATGTTATCATTCTTCTATTCTTATCAAGGTTGATGAATTTCTACTGAGCTTCTTTTAAAATAACTTTATTAGCAAAAAAAATACAGAGCAACCGACCTATGTAATTTTCATGAAAACCTAAAATGTTGTGTTTGCTACCCCTTTTAAGGTCAGGGAGTGGTATGAATTACGTACTCATGTAAACTGCATATTCAGCACGAATGAAGCAGAGAGGGAAGATATCTACCAGTTGGACAAGAGATAACACGCTAAAATTGAACCAAAAAAAACAGCATAAAACCGAGAAAAGAAAGAAAGACAGTGAAGTTTAATTTTTGTTGGAACTAAAGTGACTATTCATCCTTCTTAGAACCATAGTTAGAAGATTAAATTGAGAATTGACTGAAATAGACTCATAAGGTCCTAACCTTAAATCAGTTTAATTTCTCACAAATAATACATAATCGGAACATATACGAAACTAGTATTGAATATATATATGGAAGCTACATCCATGATTTCCCCTCAGAATAAAAGAAAGATCACAACAACAAAGTGATTTAAAGGTATTTTTTGAAAAAAGTGATCAAACTCGAAAAAAGGAGGAAAGAAAAAGGCGATTGATTTGGCCATGTATGATATATTTAGTATAAAAATTTAACTATATATTATCATAAAAGAAAGAGAGTTACAACAAAAAATAGTCTTTCATTAGATGAAAAATAGTCTGATTGCAAAATTCCTACAGTAACGAAAAAGGTCATGCCTAACCATTTACTTAACTTAACCAGAACACTAAGCAAATAGTATGTTTTATCAATCAGAAGTTGCTACTTTTAATGGTTTACTAAAGGCGGGTTAATCCATTTATACTGAAAGAACAAACAGGACACAAAGTATAGACATTTCAGATAATTAAATCAAATTACCTCTCTACCTCAACATCATTCTATAGTTGTAAAATCTCCACATTTAACCAAAAATCGTAGCAACTTAGACATAAGTATTTTATACCGGCCAAAAAAAAATCGCTTAACCAGACAAAAAATGCAAGTAACCTAAAAGAAAGCTAGCAAAAAGGAATTCGAAACTTAGTTTCAAGATCCAAAGAAAACTGAAAAGCAAAACATTCAAGGAAGAGAGCTCAAAAATCTAAGGCAAAGAAAGAGAACTAATAGATTTGAAGCAAATATATCCTTGAGATACTTTAAGAATTCTTCATCACACTTAGATATAGATAAGAGTCATTTTCACTTAATTGAATGATCGTTACTTGAACCAAGAAAAATTTACAAGATTTATTGTTTGGAGGAATTTGAAATTGTGACATAAATAGGTTAAATAATATACTCACTAAAAAACTTAGGAATGCCATCAAGAAAGCCAATAAAAGTATTTTAACTCGATTAGAGTAAAGATTATATCCTTTATAAAAGTAAAAAAGAATTTTAATTTTTGTATAAGAAATAGGGGTTATCATACATGGACTTACAATGAAAGTCCACATAACAGTTCACTAACAAAAGCTTAATTAGAAAGCCAACAATAACCAAAAGCACAGTAGATTGAAGTTATGGGTAACATGGACAGCTGATGGAGGATTGAACTGAGAGCTTCTGATCGTAAACTGAATAGTCAATCTCTAGTTTTTTTTCAAGTAACTCTTACCCCAGATAGAGAAAATGAGAAATACGAAATAGAAAATACAGGTTTGAAGTTTCAAATTCAGGAGAACAAAATCGGGATCTGTAGAGTTCTACTGGGACCTCTTCAAACTCAATTACATTCGATCTTGCAATATTAAACTTTAAAATGTGATTCCAGAAACATAATTAAACTACTTGTGCAGACCCAACTGATTGTCAAAACATGTAAACTCCAGAAAAGCATATCAATTCAAATAATACTAGAAAGTAAATCAAGATATGAACAGCCCATAAGAATTGTTTGTACGCATTCAATCAGACTATATTGCTCAAATACCCCCAAATATAAAAATAAAAATCAAAGACTAGGGTAACAAGGAACATTAAAACTGAAAGCTTAATTCAAACACACAACCAACGAATGTGGTTATCCCAAATTTATAAATAAATAAAAAATAAAAGAACTTACAGCGATGGTGTCTCCCACAACTACCAGCGACAATTTTCAGCGAAGAGATGGAAGAAACTTTGGTTGTGTTTTGGTTCTTTCTTAGCGTCAACCTCTCGTCTTCTTCTCCTTCTTTCAAGTTATAATTTTAATCGAAACCCTAATTGAAAAATTATAGAAATCTCAATCACGCATAAATAGTATGAACGCCAAATTGGCTCTCATTTTTTATTTATTACGTAAAAGAAAATTATTGATAAGTAAAGAAAAAAAAAATAGAAGGTGAAAGAAGAGGTTTTTGGCGGGTTTCACCGAAAATTGAGGGGAACATGAAGCGGGCGTTTGGACTTTGGACATAAGAATTGTAAATTTTAAAAAAAAAAAAAAAAAAAAAAATTAAGTGAACATGATATTTGAAAATTAGTGGGCGTTTGGACATAAAAATTGTAAAATTCTAAAAAAAAAAGTGAAAAATAAAATTCAAGTGAAAATAGTATTTGAAAATTAGTTGTGTTTGAACATGAATATAATTTTGGGTTGTTTTTGAAGTTTTGTGAGTAATCTGAGTGAAAATTTTGAAAAATGGTTTTTTGGAGTTTTTCAAATTTTCAAAAAATTCCAAAATGCATCTTCAAGTGAAAATTGAAAATTTTATGACCAAACAATGATTTCGGAAAAAAAATAAAAATAATTCGAAAAAAGGGGGAAAATTTCTTATGTCCAAACGGGCTCTTAGAGTTGTGTTTGGACATGAATATTATTTAAGGTTGTTTTTGAAGTTTTGTGAGTGGTTTGATTGAAAATTTTCAAAAACATATTTTTGGAGTTTTTCAAATTTTCGAAAAATTCAAAAATTCATCATCAAGTTAAAATTGGAAAATTTATGGCCAAACATTGATTTCGAAAAAAAGTAAAAAAAATTAAAAATTATGTCCAAACGAGACCGTTCCAATTGAATTTTTTTCCAAGATTCGTTGCAATAGATATATCTATTGGAACGGTTTAGATAAACGTTGCAAAACGAAACATCTGTAGGAATGGTGCCCACTCACATGCAACGGTTTTATAGTCAGAATGTGTCGGTACTACCCATGACTTATTGCAAGGGTTCCAATCGTTGCAAAAATATTTGTTGCCATAGGCCCATTTTCTAGTAGTGTTTATTATACTGCTTCTTTGCCCCCACCCCCTTCCTCCTTCTTCATTACCCTCTTAGCATTTCTTCGGTCGTAGATCTGCTCCTCTCATGATCAAATAGTCATGTTAGTTTGTATGAGTCCACCAAACAGTAGAGTACCTGGTCCTCTACAAGATTCTGCTGAGAATGCTAATAAAACAGTATGTAAATAAGGCAGAGGATTTTTACGTGAAAAAATCTCACACAAGGGGATCAAAAAACCACAACCTACACATGTAAGCTTTTAACTTCACTAATTTGTAAAGAATCTATTACAAACCACTTTGCAATGACTCATATTGCAAAAGATTTACTCAACTAACTTGTGGTACTCTTACCACAAGCCACTTTGTGACTTCCTAGTTACAAAGGCTTTTTCTAACTTGTGATGCTTTCACCACAAGCCACTTTGTAATTCTACAATTACAAAGACTTTTGCTTATGACTAAATTTAGTCACAACATAAACTCAAGGAGTTTACGGATTTACAAGAGGATTCCTAATCAAACGCTTCTAGCTAAGCAGTTTAGGAGATATAACAAGTACAATAACAAAGTTACAATCCAACTAGTATAACAACAAGTTATTTTTTAGGAACTGGTCCGTAGTTGCGTTCAAATTTGTTCTTCAAGCTTGAGAGGATTGATTTCTCTGTTTTTGGCAAGAAGCTTGAATGAGAAGCCGAAACCTTCAATTGATATTTTGTATAAAACTCATTGTAGGTACATCTTGATCACATCACTTGAAATGATATGAGCACTTTATTTGGTTAGAGAATGAGTGGACGCTGGAGACGATGCAGTGCGGCAGAAACAGTGTCGTCGGTCACTTTATTTCCAGTTGTGTCCAATTGACTTTGTATTACTATGAGGAAACCACAAGAGTATCAGGTCCTTGCGTGGGTTCCTAGCTCCTGAAGTTGTAGCAGTTCACCTTTAGTTGGAATCCGTTAAAGCTTGCAGTATAGTCCAAGTAGGTCAGGTTCCCTATCTGGTTCTTAACAGTAAGTTTGTTAGATCATTAAAACATAAGGCAAGAATATTTAAAACCTATCAATTTTTCCCTTTTTGATGATGACAAACTTAACATTTATAGAGTGGATTTAGAGCAGTAAGAATCGGAACACAAGGTTCCCCTGAGACTATGTCGTATCGTAACAATAGTTCCCCCATGTGTTCCCCCTGAGTTGATGGTTGTCCGTATTATTGTATTTTTTTCCCTTTTGGCATCATTAAAAAAATAGAATAACAGCACAAAGAAGTCCAGTTAAGCTAACTCATGCCACATATGTGCACACAATCATGATAGAGAATAGAACACATAAAGAGAGTACTGACATAATAAAATGAGGATTGATATTAACAAAGCTTTAATATGCCTATGCTTTGAAAAAGCGAAAGGCAACATTGGACTTGTTTACGGGAGCAGTAGTGTTTCATCCCAACCACACAAAAAAAGAAAACAAAAACATCCGCCAAAATATATAAAAAAAACATAACAGACATCTCCAGAAACTGGTCACTGAAGGGGTACTTAGGGGGCACTAGGAGTAAAAGGCTTGGTAGCTGCAGCAAGTGTTTGGAGAACGAGGTCTATTCGGGCGTTTGCTGACTTTTGCTCATTGAGCAGTTCTGCTTTCAGGTTTTCTACTTGTGCCCTGAGATCAGCATTCTCCTGTGTCAAACGAGCCACTTCATCATTTGACATCGGAACCTCTCGGGCTTGCTGACCTTCCAGGATAGCATTCCTGGCCTTCAACCACGAATTTCCTCAGCTGCACTGTTCTGAGCATTTATAAGCTGTGAAACGGTTGATGTACTTTCTACCCCCCCCCCCCCATACTTTTCCACACACTCGCGCTCTTCCAAAGTCGTCTGTGAGAAAGTCTGCTTCCTAGTCCCCACTTTGCACGTCCCCAGTGGGACTTTAAAGAATTTGAACACTGGAGTAAGAAGGAACCCATAGGTAAGGCCATGATTACCATCTTTAAAGGTGGCAACTTTTTGCATGTGTTCAATCATAATAGCAGGCAGACTCACATGAGTAAAACTGTCCAGTTGCTCCATCAAGAATAGATCAGACTTAGAAATCACTGACCTCCTTTCAGCTTGAGGCAATAGAACTTTGTTAACCAATTCAAATAGCAGTTGGTAAACAAGGAGTAGTGCTTTCTTATAGATCTGGGGCCCTTTCTAGTTAGTATTGTCTTTTACCATTGCATTTCTGAAGTTATACTGACACACATCTCTTATACGGGACACACCAGCTGTAGGAACTTTTAAAATCTCCCCAAGCAGCTTTACATCAAAGATGATGTCCACCCCATTGACCAAAGCACAAATATGGTTAGTATCAATTGGAAAGAGGCTAGCAAAGAAACTTTGTACCTCATCCTTATATACCTTAGGTGCATCAACTTGAAATAGATGCACCCAACGTTGAAACTCGATCATTTCCAAAATTTGGCGCATTCCATCCATCTCAAAGATTGTTGGGTCAAACATACAACCCTACAGAACTTTTTGATGCCTCAAGTGCTTAGAGCCAAGGCTGACTTCACTTCTCATTTTCTTCACAGAACCAGGTTCTTCAAAAAATTCAGACTTGCGTTTCTCGGACTTCTCTCCACTGACTTTGCCTTTTCCCTTGGATTTGACTAGGACATCCTCATCAGACATGGAAAACTCACTCACCACCTCTTTCATTTTAGACCTAGATGTTGACCCTTTCTCTATTGAAGTAGGCTTCGTCTTTTTTGAAGACTGTATAACAAGTGAACCAGGTTCATCTGGGGTTTCCTCTTCCACCTCGACTACATGGATTGCCTCAGCACTTACAGGTACACCATCTTTCACCAACTTTCTTCTTTTCTTTTTACTACTCTTCTTGCTCCTTTGAAGGGCAGAATCGTAGGCCACTTTAACTTGAAGCCTGGTAATAGGTCATTTGATTTCAGACTCAGGGGTGGACGCAACCCTCCGCTACTTATGAATGCATCAAGAGCCACATTATCTAGGTCTTCTTCATCACTGGATCTCATTTCAGGTGCTTGAATTTCCAGGGGCACAACATCGAATGCAGGAACACCACTGTCCTGGGAATGAGAGCCCTGACCTGGATCCTCTGGAGAGGGATCAGGTTCCGCATGTGATGCCTTAGTAGTATCTGCTACTGCATCCCTTCAACAGCTACAATGGCCCATTCTTCCTCCACACTTTATGTCTCATTTTTCTGAGATGTAATCTCATGCAGTACACCATCAACGGATACCACAAACACGGTTACAACATTTTTCTCTTCCTCAACCGGTGCTTCCACCACCATGGAATTGGTAGCAACGATGGCAGAACTCTTTGTGACCTCAGGATTTTGACCTTGTTCTCCACTTAGGATTTGACTGGTGGGAACATCAGACGATGGGGATAACGGAGCAGTAGTTTCAAGGGTTTTTGAATTAGTAAGAGATTGGGAAACTGGGAGAGGTGTGACTGTAGCAGCAGGAGTAATAGAGGGTGAGGAAGGCTCAATGAGAGCGAAAGGTTCCATAGATTGATCAATGGTAGTTACAATTGAGGCGTGGAGATCGGAAGTTATCTCATCCATTGGAAGAAGTGGTGTGACAATATTTTTTGGGTGATTCTAGTGTAAGACTTATGGTTAAGAGGAGCAGAGAAGAGGGTTTTTAAAAGGAGAGGATAATTATGAAGAGAGAGGAATAAGCATCGGTCCTGAAACGACGGTTGGGTGTGGAGAATTGTAATGTTTTAGAGGGAGATGGAACGATTTGAAATGAAGAGACGTGACAATAGGATCAGAAAAGTTGATGACATGGCAGTTGTGTTTTGTACCCTTTTTAAGACGTGTATTAAAGGATGCACAGAACTACTAACCTTTGGTACAAGAACCAGGTTCTTAACTTTTTTATTTGAAAGAATCAATCCTCTTTTATCATTCATGCACTGCATCTATCGTTTCTATACTCATCATGCGTGTTTACTTGCAACGGTATTGAAGTGAGTTAGACATGGCTAGAAAACACTTTGAGCCAGTTATTTCTTGAAGGTAAAAGCCAGCTAAAGAGAAATCAGGTTCTCAATTTAGGTTTAAAAGCCCCAGCTTCACTCTGTTTCTTTCAAATTGTTCCCTACTTAGCACCTTGGTGAAAATGTCTACAATTTGATCTTCTGTGCTGCAAAACTTCATACATATGAGCCCTTTCTCCATATTGTCTCTCATAAAATGATGCCTCACATCAATATGTTTTGTCCTTTTGTGTTGAACTGGATTCTTGGACATGTTGAGTGCACTGGTGTTGTCACATAGAAGGGGCACACTCTCAGTGGGGTACGTCCTCCAGATGCTGCTTGATCCATAAAAGCTGAGTGCAGCAGGATGCTGCAACTACATATTCAGCTTTAGTTTTTGAAAGAGCCACTAAATTTTGCTTCCTTGTACCCCAAGAGATAAGACATGAACCTAAGAAGTGAGTCATTCTAGAAGTGCTTTTCCTAGCCACAAGATAACCTGCATAATCTGCATCATCATACCCAATCAGATTAAAACTGTCACTTGATGGATAATACAGCACCAGGTCCTGTGTTCCTTTGAGATATCTTAGTATTCTTTTGGCAGCCTTCAAGTGAGATTCCATGGGATTTGATTGAAACCTTGCACATAACCCCACACTGAAAACAATATCAGGTTTACTGGCAGTGAGATAGAGGAGAGACCCAATAATGCCTCTATACATGGTTTGATTCACAAGAGATCCAGTTTCATCCATGTACAGTCGAGTGGCAGTAGCAATGGGAGTGTCAATTACCTTTGATGCTTCCATGTCAAACCTTTTCAAGAGTTCTCTGATGTATTTTTGCTGACAAATGGATATACCCTTTGGGGACTGTTTTACTTGAAGACCCAAAAAGAAGTTTAGTTCCCCCATCTTGCTCATTTCAAATTCACTTGCCATGAGTTTTGCAAATTCTTCACACAGAGAATCAGTTGTTGCTCCAAAAATGATATCATCAACATAAACCTGAACAATGAGCAGGTTCCTTCCTTGTTTCTTTAAGAAAAGAGTGTTGTCAATTTTCCCTCTTTTAAAACCATTTTCCAGGAGGAATTTTGACAATCTTTCATACCAAGCTCGAGGAGCCTAATTTAACCCGTACAGAGCTTTGTCCAGTTTAAACACATATTCAGGGTGCTCATGACATTCAAACCCTGGGGGTTGCTTCACATAGACTTCTTCCTTAAGGAGTCCATTCAAAAATGCACTCTTGACATCTATTTGGAACAAGGTGAATTCCATATGAGATGCAAAAACGATTAGAATTCTAATAGCTTCCATGCGAGCCACTGGAGCAAACGTTTCATCATAGTCAATCCCTTCCTCCTGATTGTAGCCTTGGGCCACTAGCTTGGCCTTGTTCCTTGTGGTAGTTCCGTGTTCATCGAGCTTGTTTCTGAATACCTATATGGTTCCTATAATGGTTCGATTTGGGGCTCTAGGTACCATGTGCCACACATTGTTTCTCTCAAACTGATGTAGCTTGTCTTGCATGGTTGTAATCCAATCTGCATCTTTCAAAGCTTCCTTGATATTTTTGGGTTCTATCTGGGAGAGAAAGGCTGAGAAGGCAAGTGAATTTCTAGCTCTTGACCTAGTTTGTACTCGGGAATCTAGGGGAGTGATAATATTGTCTATTGGATGAGAGCTCTGGTGTCTCCAGTTAGACGCCTGAGGTTCATTCTAAGAGGAGGAAGATATGTTTGGCTGATTTTCTTCTGTCCTTCTCTCAGGTGCTAGTGGAGTTCCCTAAACTGCATCAACCACTCTTTCTTCAACTTCAGTGGTTTTAATTGAAGTGCTTGGTTTTGTTGAAGATGAAGCAGCGTTTTCTTCATTTGGCTCCTTTACTTGACTCATCATATCTGCCTTTCCATTTATCATGTTAATGATTTCACCAGGAACTAATGAGGGTCCTTCATCTTGATCTTCCTCAGCACTCTTCTCAAGTGATGGATAAGAATCATCAAAAATAACATGAACACTTTCCTCAACACATTGAGTTCGCTTATTATATATCTTGTAAGCCTTTCTTTGAGAAGAGTAGCCCAGAAATATTCCTTCATCACTCTTGGCATCAAATTTACCAAGCTGATCCTTTCCATTATTGAGAACATAGCATTTGCACCCAAATGTTCTTAGGTGAGTCAGCTTGGGTTTCCTTCCATTCAGCATTTCATACGAGGTTTTGTTCAGAAGTGATCGGATCATGCACCTGTTCACCAAATAGCAGGCGGTATTGACAGTTTCAGCCCAGAAGTTCTTTGCAATTCCACTGTCGATCAATATTGTTCTTGCCATTTCCCCTAGAGTTTTGTCCTTCCTTTCTACTGCTCCATTTTGCTGGGGAGTACTGGGAGCTGAGAAGTTTTGTGTGATGCCATTTTCATTGCAAAATTCATCAAATTTGACATTGTCAAATTCTGTCCTATGATCTGATCTAATGCATGCGACTCTAGATTCCATCTTCACCTGGATTTTCTTCACAAAGGCCACAAGTACCTCAACAGTTTCATCTTTGGTTCTGAGAAACAGAGTCCATGTGAATCTAGAGTAGTCATCTACTATCATAAAAATGTATATTTTTCCTCCTATGCTTTGCACTTTCATAGGTCCACACAGATCCATATGCAAAAGCTCTAGTGGCTTTGAGGTGCTCACATCTCTTTTAGGCTTAAAAGAGGACTTCACATGTTTTCCTTTAGCACAAGCATCACTGACTTTTTGCATCTTGAATTGTGACATAGGCAGACCATGGACCAGGTCCTTCTAAATTAGTTTGTTTAGAAGAGAAAAACTTGCATAGCCCAGTCTTCTGTGCCATAGTTCAGCTTCATCATCAACAGCTTTCAAACAACTCAGATCACTATTCTGTAAGGACTCGAAATCAGCGACATAGATGTTCTTGTATCTTTTGGCCACAAGTACTATTTCACCGGTCACAAGATCAGTGACTGTACATATTTTGGACAAGAATTTTACCTTGTTGCCTTTATCACAGATTTGAGAAATACTTAAGACACTATACTTAAGGCCATTTACATAGTAAACATTTTTAATAGAATGAGTGAGTGACTTCCCGACTTTTCCAACTCTAAGAATGTACCCCTTTTTGCCATTGCCAAAAGATATACTCCCTCCTTACAAGGCTTTTAGTGAAAGAAAGTCGGTGTTCCCAGTCATGTGTTTTGAATACCCACTATTCATGAACCATTATTGACCACTTCCTTTCACTGTTCCTTGCACAAGAGATTAGGAGTTAGTTTTAGGAACCCAAACAAGTTTGGGTCCCTTATAGTAAGCAAGAGGATGAATAAGGGTTCTCTTAGTCCATGTAGATAATGTGCGTTTTTTGTAAGTAGAACCCGGTCCCTCTTTTGTAGTCACCGTTTCAGCAAACACTTTGTTTTTCTGAACTGATTGATTCTTAGCCTGGACATCTTCATTGAAGCCCTTAGTGTTCCCACATCGGGTATAAGGCCAGTTATCAGAGATAGTGACGTACTTACTATGAGGGTTGTGGGGGAGTTTTCTCCCTTTGGAACCCTGCTCCCTGCATGTTTTCATAATCATTAGTATGCAAAGCAGTGGTAGCTTTTGAGGACCAGGTCCACTTTAGGGACTTTTCAAGATCATCATTTACTCTTTCCAGATTAGTTTGGAAAAGCTCGTTTTTCTCAATTTCAGCACACATCCTAAATCTCATAGCTTTCACCTCACTTTCAAGCCTAATGTGTTCCTCACTTGCTATCTCCTTTCCCTTTCTAGAACTTTCAGGTTTTGACTTAGTCCATGGTTTAACTATTGTTTCCCTTAGGTCTGCAATTTCTGCCAACATATCACTTTTTTCTTTTCTGAGGGTTTCAACGGTTTTCTTATGGTCAGTAACTGCAACCACTAAGTCGTCTCTAGTTTGTTCAGATTCTCCTAATTCTAAGGTCAAAGAATCCCTATCCTCCACAAGACTATGAAAACCAGTGATTAATACATCATCTAAAAACATGAGTTTTTTTGGAGAATAGGATTTCAGATTTTTCTGAACATCCCTGAAGTTTACCTCTTTATTGCCATTGTCTTCATCATCATCTGATTGAGCCATCAAAGCAAAAGTTGAGTCATATCCAGTCTTTTCACCTTCAACTGCCATCATGGAACTATCACCAGTATCAGGTTCATCTTCAGACTCACTAGATGAATCCCCCCATGCTGCAAGAGATTGTCTCATCATATTGTCAACAGATCTTTTTCTCTTGAAGTCCTTGACAGGAACCGGGTTCGTCTTAGTTGTTTTCTCATGATGGTTCTTGGAGAATTCTTTCTTCAGGAGAGGACAGTCTTTCATGAAGTGTCTAGGCTTTCCACACTTATAACAAAGATCACAGTTTCTTGGTCTGATAGAAATGTCCCTTTTTAGCATTTCTCCATTTTTTTGACCATCTTCTGAAATCTTTTGGTTAGGTAAGCCATGTCACTGTCTTCCTCACTTGAATCATTGTAATCATCTTTAAGTACCAGGTTCTTTTCCCTTTTTGGTTCTCTTTTTTCACTATTTATCTTTTTCTTTAACTCATGGGTCTTCAAGTTTCCGATCAGCTCTTCTACGGTCAGCTCTAGCTTGTTTCTGAGAATGATTTCATCAACGGAGTGTAACTCATTTATGATAGAAGTGAATCTCGTATGCATATCTTGAATGGATTCGCCGTCCCTCATTTTGAAGAGTTCATACTCGGTAGTGAGCATGTCAATCTTAGACTGTTTTACTTGTGTAGTTCTCTCATGAGCTGTTTGCAAAGCTTCACATATCTCCTTGGCAGTGTCACAGGTGGAGATTCTATTGTACTCTTCAGGTCCTATTCCATATACTAGAATGTTTTTGGTATGAAAATTCTTCTCCACAGCTATGTTGTCTACTTCAGTGTACTCTTTGTTGGTTTTTGCCATTGAAAATGGGAGTTCCTGTAGTACTCTGGTTGGAACATAAGGACCATCGCATATGATATCCCATAACTTACAATCCTCAGCCATGATAAAATCGTGCATTATCGCTTTCCATAACCCATAGTATTGTCCATTGAACTTGGGTGGTCGGTATGTAGATTGACCTTCTTCCAAATTTGGTGGGGCAGCCATGAGGATCCTTCCTAGGTGTTAGCCTGATAGGAAAAACCTGTTCTGATACCAATTATTAGTTTGTATGAGTCTACCAAACAGTAGAGTACCTGGTCCTTTACAAGATTTTGCTGAGAATGCTAATAAAATAGTATGTAAATAAGGCAGAGGATTTTTACGTGGAAAAATCCCACACAAGGGGATCAAAAAACCACAACCTACACCTGTAGGCTTTTAACTTCACTAACTTGTAAAGAGCTTATTACAAGCCAATTTGCAATGACTCCTATTGCAAATGATTTACTCAACTAACTTGTGGTACTCTTACCACAAGCCACTTTGTGGCTTCATAGTTACAAAGGCTTTTTCTAACATGTGATGCTTTCACCACAAGCCACTTTGTAATTCTACAATTACAAAGACTTTTGCTTATGACTAAATCTAGTCACAACATAAACTCAAGGAGTTTACGGATTTACAAGAGGATTCCTAATCAAACGCTTCTAGCTAAGCAGTTTAAGAGGTATAACAAGTACAATAACAAAGTTACAACTCAACTAGGACAACAACAAGATATCTTTTAGGAACTGGTCCGTAGTTGCTTTCAAATTTGTTCTTCAATCTTGAGAGGATTGATTTCTCTATTTTTTGCAAGAAGCTTGAATGAGAAACTGAAACCTTCAAGTGATATTTTGTATAAAATTCATTGTAGGTACATCTTGATCACATCACTTGAAATGATGTGAGCACTTTATTTGGTTAGAGAATGAGTGGGCGCTGGAGATAATGCAGTGCGGCAAAAATAGTGTCGCCATTCACTTCATTTCCAGCTGTCTCCAATTGACTTTGTACTGTTATGAGGAAACCACAAGAGTATCAGGTCCTTGTGTGGGTTCTTAGCTCCTGAAGCTGTAACAGTTCACCTTTAGCTGGAATCCATTAAAGCTTGCAGTATAGTCCAAGTAGGTCAGGTTCCCTATCTAGACCTTAACAGTAAGTTTGTTAGATCATAAAAACATAAGGCGAGAATATTTAAAACCTATCAAGTCAAAACCATAAAACTTAATTTGGATACTTATGTTAAGTGCCAGAGCTCTTTTAAAATGGCTTTTATATATATATATATATATATATATATATATATATATATATATATATATAGTATTCAATCTTCGGTCATCACATTGAGCAAGTGACTTCTCCGGACAACATAGGGTGCACCTTATATATTGTTTCCTAATTTATATATGTGCATAAATATATTTTATATGGTATGACATCTAAAGTTATGGCCTAGTGATCAATGAAGTGGGAGCGGAACTGTTGCGTCCAACACTGTCGTTATACAAGCTAGCAATAAATCAACACGCTGATCAATAGTTTCATAACACATTTTGAAACAAGTGATGAAATAAATAAGCGGAGTCGTTCCATTTTCATAGTAAAATACTGACAACATCTACAAAGTTTGAACATGATCAAAACATAAAACTGAATGTCATAACAGTATACAACCATGAACAATGGTCTAAAATTCCTAAAACCCGGTGTCACAAGTGCATGAGCATCTACTTAGAATATACAATATTACTACAACAACTGCCTGGAATAGGAAATAGATAAAATACAGTAAATGAATATGAAGAGGACTTTGTGTGCTACAGATCGTAACATATAAGCAGCTCACCCCAAAATATCCTCAGTAGTTTCTCCTACGCACCTGTATTACCACCAAATGTACATATCTTAGTATCTACACAATTAGTGCGAAAGTATAGTATGAGTACACAAATCAACGCGTACCAAGTAAATATTTAGTCTAACCTCAAAGAAGTAGTATTGAAGGGTCGAACATCTACACTTACTAGTGGTCTAATAATCAAGTACAATAAAAGTAGACTGGTATACAACATAGCAAGTAGCAATAAAACAGACAAATATGTATAATATGATTATTAACAGCAGAATAAACGAAATCGTCAAATATCAAATACTGCCTCAATGGAATATATGAGACCAATATTAGGTGCAAATGTCAAATACGAGTTAGGATACTCATATATGCACTGACTCTCTGTCGAAATATTACGCACGATTCTGCCGAGGAGAACGACCCGATCTCATAAGAGTAGTGTTACATGATACTGTCGAGGTACGACCTGATCCCATAAGTGTTTCTCGTAATACTCCCGAGGCGAACAGTCTGATCCTATAAGAATGGTGTTACATGATATTGTCGAGGTTGTACGGCCTGATCCCATAAGTGTATCTCATGATACTACCAAGGCGAACTGTCTGATTTCATAAGAGTAGTGTTGAGGCGATCAACCCGTTCTAGAAGAGTATTGAAACTTTCGACGAGTCACAAGCCCAACTCGTGAATATACTTACGAGTTGAATAATTATGAAACTCTTGAACAAATTAGTACGACACGGGAGTAAATCCAAGTGAGAAATTACAATTTCCGCGGCTAATTAAGTAGCACGCCAAGTCTCTAGAATAATAAAGCTCGGTACTTTACTCAAGTCTAGTCTCAGACTAAAACATGAATTAAAGTATTTAAACATGAAAGATTAACTCAAGTAATACAATTAAAGCATGGTGTAAATCTAAGTCTACCCGGGCGTGTCAAAATCTAGCATACGCATGGATGTTCATCACCTCGTACGTACGTAGCTCCCATAACACGTAGCACGTAGCAAATATAGCACTTACAGGATAAGATCCATCTTACAAGATTAGGCAAGTGACTTACCTTGATCCGAAATCTAATAATAGACTCCAACAGCTCTCTAACACATCAAACCAATGTCAAACGACCTAAAACTAGCCAAAGAACGTGCATACCAATCAAAACATATTTAAAAACTCGTGATTTAACAATTAAAAACCATCTCAACCACACACGAAAAGTCAACAAAAGTTAACCCCCAGTCCCACGCGCCCGAATTCCAAAAATTCTCGAAAATACATGTCACCTGTGGCACTACGAACTCAAATATTCAATTTGTTCTTAACTCCATATCTAATTTCATGGTCAAATACTCTTTTTATTAAATATTAGGTTCCCAACCAAAAATTCCAAATAACCAACAATATCTACTAATTTTCATGTTAAATTCTATATATAATCCATGTATTTATGTCACAACAAAATGAAATCACTTACCTTATGGTAGATGGCGAAAATTGTCTTCAATAATCACCCTAAATGCACTACTTATATTCCAAGAACTTAAAAAGTAAATAAATAAAACCAAAATCTTGAAATTGGATGTTTAATACTCCTGGCAGGCCTCCTTCTTCGCGATCATGGTCACTAGCCATGCGATCGTGGTTAAAAAATGCTCTAGCATCATTTTCTTCATCGCGACCAAGAAGCCACGCGATCGAGATGTACAATTTTTGTTTTCCTCTGCACAAACAGCCTTCAATATAATGGCTATAACTCTTTGTACAATATTCAAATGACAAACAGTTTCATTTTAAGCAAAATTAGACTCAAAAGGCTACAATTTTTTTTTTGGATCATTCCCAAATTCCTTATAGCTGCAAGATATAAGCTCCCAAAGTTCGAGCACTAACCACAAAAAAATCTTGTATGCGATTACGACCCTTCCTTCTGTGATCGTGATTCACAAGCCCTGAAATGCACTTTACTCTTTGTGAATGCAGCCCCCACCTCCGCAATGGCTATTCACAATCATGTGATGAGCTATCAACATCTCAAAAAGGCCTAAAAGTGGTCTAAAGCCATTCCAAAACTCACCTAAGATCCAAGGAACCCTATCCATTAAATTTAACAAGTTTAAATACCATATGTAAACTTGTCCAACGGTTCGGAACACGAATTACAACATAAAAAAGAATTAAAGATTAAACTCAATTTCTTAAAGTCTCTACTTCCAACTTCGCCAAATGCGTCTGATTCATATTTACACAATTCGGAATAGAACCAAATTTCACACACAAGTCCAATATGACAACACAAACCTATCCCTAGGCTCAGAATATCAAACGGAATCCGATATCACCGAAGTCAACTATCGATCAAACTTAAGAACTCTTCAAACCTTCAAATTGGCAAATAGAGTCAAAACCTTCTAGGAACATCCAAATTCAAATTCGAATATATACCCAAGTCCAAAATCAACATACAAACATATTGGGACCTTTAAATCCCAATTCTAAGATCGTTTACTCAAAAGTCAAATCTTGGTCAAATCTTCCAACTTAAAGCTTCCAAATTGAGAATCATTCTTCCAAATCAATCTGAACCTCTCGAACATCGAAACCAAACCTACACACAAATCATAATGCATCATAAGAAGCTACTCAAAGTCTCAAATCGCCGAACGGATTGCTAAAGCTCAAAATGATTGGCTGAGTCATTACATTCTTCCCCACTTAAACATGCGTTCGTCCTTGAATGTGTCAAGAGTCATTCCAAAGCCATCAAATAACTGTATAATCTCCTCATATGCACACCCATGCCATGTCAATCCATATAAGTCGATTAACACATACACACAACTGAACAGTATTCCTTCGATCTGTAACGACCCGACTGGTCATTTTGAGCTTTTGCACTTATGCTCACCATTTCTCGGGTATGACTAGCCTCGTGTGATGTATTATGACTTATGTAAATTATTGGTTTTGGTTTTCAGGGTGATCGGAATGAATTTGAAAGAATAGTTCTCAATTTGAAGCTTAAAATTTGAAAGGTTGACCAAGTTTTGACTTGTTAGTATATGATATCAGATTAGAATTTTTATGATTTGGTTAGCTCCGTTAGGTGATTTGGGACTTAGGAGTGTGATCAGCATGTATTTTGGACGTCCATAGAAGGTTTAGGCTTGAATTGCCGGAATTGGGATTTTGGCGTTTTCCGGTTGATAGGTGAGATTTTGATATAGGGGTCGGAATA